ACATTCGCGGCTGACACATCGCAATTAGATCGCGACCAACACGTTGCGAGACGAGATTGTAACAGCGAAACAGAGGAAATAGCGAGTCGAGGAAAACAAAATCACGATTCATGACTAACACGTCGCTGAGAGAAGTAAAAGAACCTCGACTTGCTACCAGCCTCGACTTGCTATCTCGCAGAATCAGAACCTCGACTTGCTACCAGCCTCGACTGGCTATCTCGCAGAATCAGAACCTCGACTTGCTACCAGCCTCGACTTGCTATCTCGCAGAATCAGAACCTCGACTTGCTACCAGCCTCGACTGGCTATCTTGCAGAATCAGAACCTAGACTTGCTACCAACCTCGACTTGATATCTCGCAGAATTAGAACCTCGACTTGCTATCTTGCAGAAATCGACGAGCGAAATCTCGACTTGGACCAATAAACAAGCAAAAGCAAATCTAGAATTGACAGCAAATCGCGATTAAGAGCGGAGAACCGTGACTGGTATGTCGTCGGCGGAAATTGCAACTTGAAACAAGAAGAAAATCGCGAGCTGAGATCTATTGCGATGAAGATTCATGAGAAATCGGCAACTGAAAATGCGAGAATCGCGAGCCGGGGAAGATGAGTGAAATCGCAAATTGCGAGTCGGGAAGGAATTTGTGTGAAATCGCAAGAAATCGCGCCAATAAAATAGACAGTCTGAGATTCGTGAAGCATATATCGATTCGAAATCACGGTGGAGAACAAATTCGGGAAAGACGACTGTCAAGATAACTCGGACGATTTATGTGAAGACGAGAAGAAAATCGCGAAGAAGAGAAGGGGAAAGAACAATAAGCGTGGAGCATTAAATTGGGCCTGTGTTAGTTGGGCCAAGGGAAATGAATAATGTTACACAATCGTATGATTTGAAAAAAAGGCATATATGTGCAAAAGCCTAACGATTTCGATTCCTTAGATCAGAATCAAGTCTACAAATAAAAATGGAGTAAGGATTACCAAGCGACAAAAATATTCTCTCAAACACTACAAACTTTTATAAATTCCAAGATTCCCAATCGGGCTTACTCTACAGCTCGAGTCGCAGTAGAGTAAGGTTTGGGGGGGGACTAGATGATATAGCCATACTTGTGAACCAGAGTCAAGTATGAAGAGGTCCAAGCGAAACCGATAAAGAGTAACTTGAGGTAGTCTAGCGAGACTTGAAGGTCTCGGTGACTAAGTAGGAGTGCTCTATGCAACTAAGTATGGGAAAGTAGAGGTGCTCTACACGACTAAGTATGAGAAGCTCCCCACGACTAAGTATGGAGAAGTAGAGGTGCTCTACACGACTAAGTATGAGAAGCTCCCCACGACTAAGTATGGAGAAGTAGATGTGCTCTACACGACTAAGTATGAGAAGCTCCCCACGACTAAGTATGGAGAAGTAGAGGTGCTTTACACGACTAAGTATGGAGAAGTAGAGGTGCTCTATATGACTAAGTATGAGAAACTCCCCACGACTAAGCATGGAGAAGTAGAGGTGCTCTACACGACTAAGTATGAGAAGTAGAGGTGCTCTCCTCTACCTGCTAGATGTCACTCACCTTTACTCATCTAGCCTCTACCTGCAAGAGGTCACGCACCTCTACCTTATAGAGGTCATCTCTCATCTACCTACTAGACTTGCCTGAGGTCGTCTCGTCTACACCTACTAGACTTGCTAGAGGTCGTCTCGACCTGCTAGACTTGCTAGAGGTCATCTCGTCTCAACCCGCTCGACTTACGAAAGGCCTCCAATACTAGACTTCCGCTGCTAGAGGTCTATGTGACTACAAGAGCATGATCTAAAGGCAGTAAATGGATAAGAAGGAATATGATGATGACTAAGCAGTGAGGGGAGACAAACCGACTGGGGTATTTCAGACATTTCGGGTAGACCGGTGGGGACATTTTGGGTACTTCACGTAAGTGTTTTCTCTTATATAAAGGGACTGAGGTAACCCTAAACCCTAACTCCCATTCATTCCATACATTCTCTCTTCTGCTGCTGCTCTCTTAGAGCAGCCTCTCTCTCTTTCTCTCCCACATTCTACACACTTCTACATACATTACAGCTCTAAACTATAGAGCTTCCATCTTCCTCTCTTCTGTTTACTGACTTGAGCGTCGGAGGCTCTACGCCGGATACCCCTCTAGTGTTGAGTTCTTGCAGGTGTTCTTGCGGTTCAACAATGGTTCGGAGGCCATCAAGTCAGATCTGAGCTCATTCATACCGGTTAATCCCAGATCCGGACGATTTCTCATCGGTTCG